ATCCTAATAATATACCTTATTGTGAGATCTGTATCTGTGTTTTTGTAGCAGTAGAAGAGATAGGGCTGTTTAGGAAAAATATATTTTTTAGTCAGTATTTATCTTATCTAATAGTTATACATCTTTTTTACTCTAGGCAACACAGGCACGCATTTGGGCATCAGGGAGCCACACTGCTTTGTCATGAACATGTTCCTAGTGGTGGTAGCAATATTGATGTGATCTACATCAGTCTAGTGTCAAGTGGACAAGGAAAATTGACTTGGTCAGCTCGTGGAAGATGTGCATAAACATTTTTTAAATGTAAAGGAGCAGCCAATTAGCATCAAACTTGATCTAAAATATTGACCAACCAACACATTCAATCTAAAATGAATTAACATATTTCACAATCCAGATATTCTATGTTACAGCAATACATTTATTCCTTCCATTACACTTTATATTTTGTGTTTTGTTATCTGAGTGAAAGTCATTCAGATTTAATATATTTCCCTTTATTTTACGAATAAAAATAAAGCTTTTCAAAAACAAAAGTCGTTCGTCCTTCGCATGCCAACTTGATCCAGGCTACATTCAACGGTGAGCAAGCGGGTAACTTGCCAGTCCTAATTGTGTCTGGAAAGCCTTCCCGCACGTACGACATGCTTTTTTGTGTGTCCTAGTTGGAATAGAGTTGATTCTGCTTTTCCTTGCCGTGCGCTTTCTTTGGGACGTGAGTGCTGAGCTTATTCTTTGAGTGGTGTGATCCAACAGCAAGTCTGCCTCACCAGCATCTCGATCCAATAAAAACAACTCATTAAGACATACGTATTTAAAATATTTTAGTTTAACTTATTGGTTGCTTAAAAAAAAAGTTCCTTGGTGTAAGTGAGACTTCGACAGCCATACATGTGCTTTCAACTAGCAAATCATGACCGAAAAGAACCGAGTTTGAGCCAGCAAAACCTCATCTCCAGATCCTGGAATAAGAACCTACGATATCAATCTTCTGACATAAAACTCTACAGTATGCATTGACTGAAGTAATACACCACGAAATACAGTTCCTGAAATAAGAACTTACGAAATGAAGTTCCTGAAATAAGACCCTACGATATGCAGTTCCTGAAATAAGACCCCAATATATGCACTCCTAAAAATAACACTCTGCTCTATTCGTGAAGGGGACAGCCTAGTAATTTTTAAGGGGGATAAATTTAGACTTTTGATGCATAGAACGAGGTTAGGGAATACTATTTAGGAAGATAGGGTTGGGGGGTAAATGGTATAAGGGGCTAAGTGAATAAAGCTTAGGATTATAGAGTTGGACATTTTAAGGATGTTGAGGGTAAGTAAGTCAGGTTTAAGGGGCATATGAAAAGGGCAGTTTAAGGATGCATCACAGAATGATAAGAATCTCAATTAGCCCCCCCCCCACCCACATTTTTTTTGTACCGCAAATTTATAACACCATATTTTAATTGAGACAATGTCCGTAACATGAAAGAAAATAGTACGCGCCAAACATACTTGCAATATTTTTAAGAATCTCATTTAGCGCAGTTATCGGCAATTGTATTTAATGAAATGGAGTTCATTTTGACTCACTTGTCATGGAGTAGTGCATTGTCATGGGGGGGGGGTGAGTGGTTGCAATCAGGCCTGAGGAGAGAAGGGTGCGACCCGTACGTTATTCCCGGTCACATGCAGGGGGCCCGTTGTCAATTACTTCGGAACAAGATTATTGCGGCAGTAATAATAAAATAATAATAAAGTGTATTTCAAAAACACGCTTTATCCCCAAAGGCTCGAAGCGCGGTACAAGAGTAAAAAATCTATAATTTACCACATTTAAAACAAACGCAACACTACAAAAACTAATTACAAGCATACAATGGCAAAGTCTTTCAACCCATTTCAACCCTGAGCAACATGCTAATATGCATTAAATGGAAAATATGGTAGACAATCATCCCAGAAGGTGTTTGCGAAATAAATGTGTCTTTAAATCGGTTTTAAAGGACTTCAGTGTCTGGTTGTTCCTGAGATCGACATTTAAGTAACATTTAAGTCTATCCTAGCTTGCATCAATACTCAGAAAACTAAAATGGGGCAAAAATGATGTATTCGCATCCAAGAAACAATGGAGTATGAATAGTCATGGGCAGTCCTTTGTGGAGTGGTGAAAATGTAGACATACTTCTGTCATCTGGAAAATGCATTGAAAATCTATTGAAAGCACCTATTGGAATAGAATCTGTCAAGGGGTACAACATTATGAAACAAATAATGTATGTTCGACTTTGCCTTGGTGGAAAGGGGGGAAGTGCGGGGTTGTGGTCAGTTTCCATCGTATTTCGACAATGGGAATTTCCTGGGAGTCAAAAGTTTATCTCATTGGGATCCAGTTCTAAAATAACATTTGTATAAGTTTAATAGTGACAACACAAGGGAGAACGATTTCAATTACACTATCTCAGTGCCGATTGCCAAAACGAGTTAAATGCTCAAAGTTTCACAATGTTTCACAATTGTAGAGCAACACATGTTGGTTTAACAGATACCTGCTATCTAATTTGCTGGTATTGGGGGCTGCACACCACATTCATCCATTTTGGCTAAACCATTTTTTCTTGCGTTAGAAAGATTGTAGTAAGATTTCTACAGTTCGTCGACACAAGTCATCAAACAAGAAATGACATAGCACATATGACAGTAGAAACATTGGAAGTACCAGATATTCCATTGCCAGATTGTCGTGCTCAGGAATCTAACGATGCAGTCAACATGACAGAAAAATGAAAAACGTTCACTATCAAGAATAATTCGTGAACGACGAGAAACAGCTTTATTTTCAACATGTGGATGCAATGCACTTCAATTTTGTGGAAAGAATGCACGAATTTAATGTGTGTGGAAATGATGCCACACATTTTATTTATGTTGAAATTCTGTCACAGAATGCATTCCTAAAGCCATAACATACTTTGGAACAGCACAAACAGCTTACAACTTGTTTGGTTCTAGTCCAAAGCGATGTGAAATCTCGCAGTAGTGTATTGGCTGCTCACTTCACGGAATGCCTTAGACACCATGGTCAGACCGTGTTGAAAGTAGCTCTTTGTAGCCCATCTCCAAGGCATTAAATTAGCTTTAGAAAACAATTGCCTTACTGAACCCAACTGCCAAAACAAAATGAGAAATAGAAGTAGCTTTTTCTTAAGCCACATACTTCATCTGTTCGAACATTCAAACATGTCTGTTGTATCGGTACAGAGTATCAGTTACAATTGATATAGTAATAATAATAATAATTTGTGGTCTTTTATAGGGCGGTACCCCAGGCTAGGTGTAACCACTGTTATTCAGACAAGAAATCTAACGTTGGATGTCGAAGTTTCAAACTTAAAGAGCTCATGTTTAAGAACTGAAAAATCTTCGAATTGCCTGGAAAGTAAGTAATGTTTCGCCAAAAAGTGTCTGCCTCCGTATTCCGATTTCTGCCCCTGTCACCACTGCAGATAGCTCGCTCGTTCAGCACGCTATACGGGAATTTTCTTTTTTTTTAAAAATCCTAGATCGATTATGTCACGGGGTGGTGTGGGGGCATCGGTTTGCTAGGCAAGTCTCAGTATTAAATCTGATCTTGTAAAAAAATAAAAAAAAGATCGATTTTGTAGACGTGTAAAGAAAAGTAATTGGCAGAGATATCACTAGGAAAGCACTTAGCAGAGTAGCAGAGTAGAGATGCCACTAGATCTCAACCATAATAACGGTTAATGAATCTAGCGGTTAAATACATTGCTTAAGTGCATTGTTTCATATCGTTTATATACTTAAGTATATTATTATGATTTTTTTATTATCTTTTGCAGGAGTATATGTCCTCTTTTTCATAAATCTGCAAATATTTTTAATGCAATAAATAAATTATGACATTAGCGATGTATGTGTCCAGATGTAGTTGAGGGGGGGGGGAAGCCCCAACAATTCCTCACATACTAATAATATACAGTAGCTCTAGATTCAGTGGTACACAGTCGTATCAGAATCAAATAAATATCGCAGACCGAGAGTCTGTAAAAAGGACCAGAAATTTAACTAGTAACGAATGATAGAATAAAAATCATTGACACTAGAATAAGTGAAAAAAGCAGCTCTAGAATCTGTAGAATATAGTTGAACTGGAATAATAAATACAACTGAAAACAGTAAAACAGAGCAGCATTAATATCAGTGGCACAAAGAAGCTCTAGAATTAGGTTCACATAGAAACGGTTAGAAAAAATTAATTCAAGTCAAAACAATGTTAAATAAATGAATTATTTTTTGTTTCTTTTTTTTTTTTTTTTTTTTTTTGGCATTTGTAATTTTACTTTTTTATAAATATTTTTTTTTTTCACAAATTTTATTTTTTTTTTCCCTTTTTAAATAAATATTTTTTCAAGTTTTTATTTAAAAAAATAAAAAAAAAAAAAAAAAAAATAAAAAAAAAAAAATATTTTTTTTTTTTTTTTTTTTTTTTTTTTTTTTGTGGCATTTGTAATTCTACTTTTTCATAAATATTTTTTTGTTTCACAAATTTAATTATTCTTTTCCCTTTTCAAGTAAATATCTTTTCAAGTTTTCATTTATTAATATTTTATCCTAATCTGTTGTCTGTCTGTCATCGCTAGATTAGTGTTCCATAGTTTTTAAAATAATTTATGTAAAAATAATTTTTTTCCGTTTTTCAAATGGTTTCGGTTTATATTCCCAAGTTTTTTTTTGTTTTTTTTAGATAACATGATGACGTCATCATTAAAATGGTTGACAGGAACTCATTAAAATCTCCTTAGAGTTTGTTCATTAGCATATCAAGAATTAGGAAGAATTAAAATATATTATACACAATATAAAAAAGTCCTATGAAATAATTATAATTTTTAAACATAACGTTGATTTTTAAGATAAATATTGATTAATTAAAAATTTTAAAAATTGTGGATCTACTTTGAAAAGAAATTTAACAAAAGGATAACCAAACAACCTTACTCAATGAGTCCTTCGAGTATTCAGGAATAATAATAAAAAAGAGAAGTAATTTACTACAACTACAATATATTAATTCTGATTTGTTGTGTCTCTGTGTATCCTAGAAGTTTTGTCCATGTCATTACCCGTAAAGCCAACGCGTTCTCAAACCATTCCTACTCTACAGACATATCCATGACGTAAACCCCCCCCCCCTCTATCTCTATCTCTCTCTCTCTCACTTTCTCTCTCTCTAACAATCCCTTTTCGGGCTCACTTGCTAAATTCTGATTTGTTGTGTCTCTGTGTATCCTAGAAGTTTTGTCCATGTCATTCCCCGTAAAGCCAACGCGTTCTCAAACCATTCCTACTCTACAGACATATCCATGACGTAAACCCCCCCCCCCCTCTATCTCTATCTCTCTCTCTCTCACTTTCTCTCTCTCTAACAATCCCTTTTCGGGCTCACTTGCTAAACTTCTTTGCATCAACAAATATTCCTAACCTCTCCATTAAACTATCCTTTAGACACTTCCGTAAATTTCCACTAAACTCTCCATTAGACACTACAATAACCTTTCCCCTATACTCCCTCCACCTCCAAACCCATGCCGTTAAAATCTGAACAATCCAAATTGACAATGAAATTTTCTCTATAGTCATGAAAATGTTGTTCAGAATTTAAAGAATTTTATGAACATGGACTTATATATATATATATATATATATTCTTTCGCTGTACAATACAATTTGATGTATAAACCTGAATTGCTGCGAGAAAAATAATTCATTTACAAGCTCCCATAACATTTCCCCAAACTGTCCCAAGCTCTTAACCCAGGCCCATGGTCTGACAATCTCAACGGCTCTGATCTCTCACACTATAATACCGTCAATGCAATTTTCTTTCCAATCGTTTTAAGTAGTTTCGAAAGTTAAAGAATTTGAGGACCATGTGATTTTAACAAAAATATATCCTTCGTTTTGTATACAATGTGGTGTAAAAATCAGAAATATTATTTCTGCACGTAGAGCAACTTTCGTCAAAAATCTCATTATCGTCTCAGCCGGACATATGCTAAAACCCCGACACACTGACGCGAAACAAAATACAATAATCAAAATTGTTGGTAAGTTGTTGAATCTTTTACCTGCCTGATATGAAATCTGTGTAGGACTATTTTTAGTGACCACCAGCTGTCTCCCACTTGTTTCTAGAATTTATTCCCTAGATGGTTCTGATTTAATCCCTATATAAAGGTCATCACTTTCCTGGCAGAGAGACACAGAGAGAGAGAGAGAGAGAGAGAGAGAGAGAGAGAGAGAGAGAGAGAGAGATTGATTTATAGATTCCAGGCTTTTGACTTATTGTGTGGCTATTTCGTAGTGACCCCAACCAGCAAATTCATAGCCTGGATTTCGTATAAGGCGAGCCCTAATTGCCTTTTGTATGCGAGTTTCTCTTTTTCTGACTTAATATCTTTACATTATATTATTTTAGGGTAAATGCATTTGAAACTTTGTAATATGTGATGTCATGCAGTTTCTGGGAGCCATTGCAACTGCTGTTTTATTCATTGCTGGTAAGTTATGGTAAATATTTACTGTTTAAATTACTAACACTGGTAAAAAAAATTTACATTAACTTTCAAATATCCTATTTCCCCTTACGATGACTCTCAACCCGGAGGTAATTTAACGATATTCTAACTGAAAAATGAAAATTGCAATAATTGTCCAAGAATTACTTCTATCCGTACCAATGGCACATTAAAAATTAAAAATTAGATTTAATGTGCAGATTTTATACTAGAGTGCCTAATCATAAGTCACAAAACGTGGGGTCTCGATTAGCGTATGAAATGTTGACATGATTAGCCACATACGTTTAAGGCGATCTAGACATTTCTAACAGGCTTTCTTACCTACTCTAATTGTAATATTTTGAAAAGAGTTGGACATAGCAGTAGCCTATATTTTAATTCAACGAACTCTACATTATCATCCTAAGAATAAATGAGAAAGAGTATAGCCGAATATGGTGTAAATATTTTAATACATTTCAAAGGCCAATTCAATTATAATGTACTGCCATATGCCTATAATGAATGAAATCCCTGAGTATGTTAACTCTGTGTATTTTGTGTAAGCATCGGTACAACTATAACATCTTATCTATACCTGGAAGTCGCACAAGGCTAACAAGAGAAGCCTTCCGGATTTGGTCCTTATAATGAAGTTACACACGGTTTCTCAGTGCTAGTGCCAGGCATATGCCTAATTTTGTTTCTTCTTCCCAGTTCAATGTCAACTGCTTGACAAAACAGAGATCGAAGTCGGAGGCTCATTCAATCTGACGTGTGATGTTGGCCGGATTGGCAGTGTTCCAGCAGCTGTAACGGGTCTATATGGTTTATCCATTGAGAGAACCGTGCTTACAAGTAGAAAGCCTACGACTGTTGCTGTCTATTCACCGAATCATTCAAAAAATCTCACAAAGGTAATATTTAAGTCATGACCTCATCAATCAATGTCTATGGACTCAACCTAGATCGTTCATTACACTTAATCAAAATAATTCAAATTGTGTTTGGGCAACTTTAAAAAGGTCACCAAACCTCAATCCTATTTCTTTCTAGATCATTGTAAAATTGTTTGAATATTTAATCGTTATTTTAATTTTAAACATTTAAGTTTAAAAAGTTTTTTTTAAACACTTTTAGCTTACTTTAAACAGTCTTTGGTGCATTTTCTTGTTTAATTTATTTTTGGTAAATAAGTTATGTTCTGCAACTATATTTATCTGTTTATAATTGTTTATGATTTTTTTTTCTCCTTACTAATCACTGTGGACGTTATCTATGTCTGTCTACAAGGCTTCATTTAATGCTTCATACGTATTCCCTTAGCTCGTGTTACTAAGTATTTGACGTATTCCCTTAGCTCGTGTTACTAAGTATTTGACGTATTCGCTTAGCTCGTGTTACTAAGTATTTGACGTATTCCCTTAGCTCGTGTTACTAAGTATTTGACATATTCCCTTAGCTCGTGTTACTAAGTATTTGACGTATTCGCTTAGCTCGTGTTACTAAGTATTTGACGTATTCCCTTAGCTCGTGTTACTAAGTATTTGACGTATTCCCTTAGCTCGTGTTACTAAGTATTTGACGTATTCCCCTTAGCTCGTGTTACTAAGTATTTGACGTGTTCTCTTAGCTCATGTTACTAAGTAGTTGACGTATCCCTTAGCTTGTGTTACTAAGTATTTGACGTATTCCCTTAGCTCGTGTTACTAAGTTTTTGACGTATTCCCTTAGCTCGTGTTACTAAGTATTTGACGTATTCCCTTAGCTTGTGTTACTAAGTAGTTGACGTATTCCCTTCGCTCGTGTTACTAAGTATTTGACGTATTCCCTTAGCTCGTGTTACTAAGTATTTGACATATTCCCTTAGCGCGTGTTACTAAGTATTTGACGTATTCCCTTCGCTTGTGTTACTAAGTATTTGACGTATTCCCTTAGCTCGTGTTACTAAGTATTTGACGTATTCGCTTAGCTCGTGTTACTAAGTATTTGAAGTAAAATGTTTTTCAGATTTAATTTTTCAGAACAAGCTTCCAAGGTGTAAAAAAGCAATATTGTTGATTTAAAAAAATTATATGTTCTAGAATCTAGATGTTCATGTCTTCATAATTCCATTTTTTTCAGTTTATTCCAAATGGTAGGCAATGGGTCATTGAAGCATCTGGCGGTAGAGGCTCTGCTACTGATCCGGACAGCAACAGGGCATCGATAAAGCTGGCGCTTTATGTGCGCGATGCTCAATGTGCTGATGCCGGGCTGTACTTCTGTAACGCTAACTTTCCTACAGTACTTGGTGTTTCAACAGCCGAACGGTCTCAGAAAATAACTTACAAAGGTGGGGCGGTTTCCTTCATTGCTCTTATTTGCATGACAGACTTCCTGTTCAGATTTACATGACTTGAGTAAGATGTCGTCTGGGTCGTTACTACTAGTACGTCTTTGATTCTCACTGTTATTACTACTACCAAAAGTTTGTGACAAGAGACCCATTTTCTAATTTAACTGCAGATGATTAGTTCGTCCACCATTCAAATGTCAGCATTCAAATGTCAGCATTCTAAATGCCCTAATTGATATGTGGATCCTACCATTGATGTTGTGGTCACAGTTGCCCTCTGGTATGCCCAAACCCCTTATATACTTGAAAGTTGTTTCTACGTGGGGATTTCTTTGTCTGGAGAGCTCTGTCTCTTACCTTTAAGTTGAATATCTTTTTCTAAAAATCCGATTGTATGCTCTAACAATACATTGGCACTGAAATTTAATATAATCCTAGAAGTTTTCTCATCAATCGGGTTTACGTCATCCCCATGTTTATCGTGTGGGTCTAGAGGTTGTGTTCATGAACCATTTAAAGTTATAAACATGTGAAGCTTACTAAGCACGTTTTTTTCCCCCATAACAATTGTTGAGTTAAGGGTGAACTAGTGGTGTGAAACTCTTTAACTGGGTTTGATGTAGGCACATAATTTTTGCAGTCAATGTTTATCTCATCAAATAAGTTTCTAAATACATTTGTTGTCTTTTATACTCTAGGAACTTGCAACACGGCAACACGTTTGGGCGTGATGGACTCGCAAGGAATTGTCAGGAACATGTTCCTAGTGGGGGTTGCAAAGCACCTGTTGTCGAGATTTATATAATCTCCATTGGACAGTGGAAATTAATTCAGATGCCTTTTAGAGGATGCACGAGAATTTTTTCAAATTTGAAAAAATACAGAAAATAGTGCAGCCTGAAAATTGTCTTATCTATTAATTGATCCACACATTTAATATTACAGTAATTAAGTCGCTTACTTTCACTTTTCTTGACGTTTTTATTTCTGATTGCAGTTCAAGTTCTTAAGCTTTTATTTCCAGTTGTTACGCACAGAATACAAGATGTAATGTTGGCAATTATGTCTGGCGAAAAAAGAAATAGGCGTATACTTTTATAATTATTTAACATATTTTAAGTGTTGCACACTGCTGTCTATAGGGAGAAATTATTCTCCTATTTACATGTTTGGCCCGTTCCAGAACAGTGCATAACAAGACGATGCCAAATGATATAAAAACAACAACAGAGGATACGACACTTAAAACAGGGCTAATTAATAAGATTTATTAAGTTACTATGGATTACAAAATAAAATTCATATAATTAAAATCATCAACTTACAGAGTATGGTTTTATTTGTACCGGCACACAATTAATACAATGTGCCAAAAAATAAGGCACAATGATGCATACGAATTCACACATATAAGTAAACACAGAAAACACACTCTTGTCTCGTAAGCAAAAATATCTCGTGATCTCTCCCTCCCTCTGCTCTCTGAATCCCCTTATAAATACAGTCGGTTCTACCGACGCATCTGGAAGCGCCTTACAAATTGTTTTCCTATCTAGTTTTCTCCAGATTTTTCTACAAGGATCTGACAAATACAGATTATTCATTTTATTTAGTTGGTTGTAAACAAGGCCAAGATCAAAGGGAATGAGCCACGCCCAATACTAACGCAGGCGAATTTGGGTCTGTTCGAGTTCACAGCACTGGGGAAATGTAAAATCAACACGTCTTCTATATAAAACCTCCCCTCTTTAAAAAAAAAATCATTTTTAAAATGGAATTATTTTCCATTAAAAATAAAAAAAAAATACAATGATCCCCTTCAAAATGTTAGACAAAAAGCTTCTCAACAGCTTATAAACAATAACATAAGTTATATGTACAGTGAGAATTAATTTCTGGACAAAGTAAGCAATCACATTATCTTTACCTTTAATATGTTTGATGTACAAATTATACTCTAGTAAAATAGACTCCATCTTCACAATATTTGATTTTTGGAGACCATTTTATTCAGAAATGTTAAACGATTATGATCACTAAAAACAAGTACTTGATTTAAAGAACAACTGACATAGACATCAAATACAAGTCTGCCAATCTTTGCTTCAACTCGTTCACTGACCCTCACTTTCCTGTTTATCTCTCTGAGCTGTTGCTTCCTTACATCCCCACAAGACAACTACGCTTTTCCATTGGCAGTAGAACCCTCTCAATCCCAAGAACTAAAATTAAGACCATCGGTGAACGCTCCTTCTACTTCCATGGGCCCACGTTCTGCAACCAGCTCCCCTTCCATATCCGTCATTGTGAAACCTCGTCCATTTTCAAAAAAGTCCCTTAAAACTCACCTGTTTAGGTCCGCCTATGACCTGTGATGCACCCTCCTTGCCCTGCCTCGTTTTCTGTTTCGGGTTGATCCTGAAGTATAGGCCAAAACGTGTCAAAGTGTCCTCGTTTTATAGCCATTTTAATTGTTTCTATAGTATAGTAGTTACTATCCTAGTGTCTCATTTTTATTTTACTTAGTTTACATGTTTTTAATAATTGTAAAGCGCTTAGAGCTTTATGGTAAGCGCTATATAAAAATGCCTAAATAAATACCCGGGTACCTATAGCAGCAACTGGCTATTCGGATCCGGCTGGTCATGTGAGGGCTTTAGATCTTCGGTTGGTCACGTGATCAAGGTTGCCAATTTGGCTTTTTTGACGCCAGATTCGCGAAATCTGGCTTTTCCCCGACTTGGTTGGCTTAAGATAATTCGTTTGGCTTTTTGGATTTTCTTTGGTTTCTTTTACATAGTTTCTGGAAAATTACTTAAAAATCTCTCTTAAAATACTTTTACTCTAAAAACATTTTACTCTCAAATGGCAACACTACAAAGACAGCTGGCAGTTGCTACTTGCCAGTTGTCGCGGGCCGCTAAAAACCAGAAACTACGGTACATGCAGGTTAAACTTTGATTGACAGCTTGACAGGTTGATTTTAAAGTGTTAGCTTCACAAACATAAAGATAATGGGATTCTAATCCGTAGACACATTTTTAACGATTTGTGAAGTTTAATTTAAATATATCATTTGGTATAACTGTCTTTTAATATAATAAAAAGACATTTTTTTCACTGATGGCCTCCTCATCAAAGAAATGGAAAGCTTCTTATGATAGCCATCGTAAGTACAATAGTAATTGGGAAAAAAAAATTCGTATGGCTCAAGAAGGCTTCTGATGGATCCGAGTCAGCCTTTTGTAAAATTTATCACTGTACTATTATACCAAGAATAAGTAACCTCTCAAATCATGAAAAATCTGCAAAACATAAGATGAGAACGCCATCAAAAAAACCAAGCACAAGTTAATGTAACAAAGAGTCCTAAACCACGCAATGATAAAGTTAAAGCAGTAGAGCTGCAAATTGCTGTAAGCATGACCTGCCATTGTGCAATACGTACAATTGACCACCTGAGTGAAATCATGATAGCACATGGTCAAGGAAGTACATTGGGGCACATAAAATTGCACAGATCTAAATGTTCATGCCTAATAAAAAACGTTATATCGCCTGCGCTGAAATCTGATCTCATTGATGACTTTCGGGATAAAAAATATGCCCTCATTATAGATGAATCTACTGACGTTTCCACACAAAAACACTTGTGCATTTTAGTTTGTTTTTTAAGTGATATTAAAAAGGAAATTGTTACTGAATATCTTGGTTTAATTCCTGTGCAAGAGGCTACAGGAGAAAACATATTTAATTTGGTTGAAGAGGAAATCAAAAGATGTGGTCAGAGTCTTACAAATTGCATTGGGTTTGCATCAGATGGTGCATCAAATATGGTGGGGTGCAAGAACTCTGTCTGGTCTAGACTGAAAGATGTATCGCCTTACTGTGTACAGCTCAAATGTATTTGTCATTCGCTTGCACTTTGCATTTATCATGCGGTAACCAAGCTACCATCAAGTATTGGATTTTTGCTCTCAGAAATACCTCAATGGTTTCGCCATAGTGATTTAAGACGGGAAGCATACAAAGAATTGTTTAGAGTTATGAACACACCTACGGAATTTGAGTCAACCCGAACTGCTCCACTTCCCTTTGAAAAACCTTCATCTACTCGATGGCTTGTACGTGGGAAGGTTATGTTTAACATTTTGATGAATTGGGAAGAGCTGAAGGTTTATTTCACTAGTGCTGAATTAGCTCAATCAAACTTTGACACAAAATACAAAGCAAGATTGTTAAAGGAAATGATGTTGGACTACAAAAATTATTTGTTCTTTGTCTTTGCAACACCTTTTGTGCAGGAATTTGAAAGACTAAACAGTCCTTTTCAACAAACCAAGGCTGATCCTCATGAATTGTATCAAGAATTATTCTTACAACAGAAAATTCTTCAGAACAGACTGTACGATGTTAATGGGCAGAAAATACAAATTCGTGAGATTGATTTTGGCATTCTTAACAGAATGTAATAGGTTCCTTTAAAAAAAAACAACAGTATTGAGGCTCAGCTGGAAATAAACAATGTCAAAGAAAGATGTATATCTATGTTAGAAGAAGCTCTAAACCAAGTTACATGTAGACTTCCATCAGCAAAAGGTGTATTTCAAAAGCTATCAAAATTGAGTCCTATGATAATTTTAAATCAAGTTTCAAGGACCGCATTTTCAGAATTACCTTTTATATACTACCTTGCTGAAAACAACATCAGTATTATTGAAGAACAATACAGAAAAATACTTTTTGTTGATTGGAAAGAAGAGCCTGCATTTAAGAAAGATGGAGTTCCAAAAGACAGTGAAAAGTTTTGGATTGGCGTGTTGCAGCATCAGGCATTTAAAGAGCTCGCCTCTTATGCCCTTACTTGTTTGGTAACCCCAGTTAGTAATGCAGTGCTCTCTTGTCACCACAGTAAAAACGAAGGCAAGAAACAGAATGCAACTGAATTTACTTGATGCTAAGAATCAGGACTGAACTATTGCTGTCAGGCAAATGCTATAAAGATTTCTCTCCATCTGAAAAAATGCTAAAAGCTTTTACAAACGACAATGTTTTTGGCATATGATCCGCTAGTTACAGAACTTCCAGTGAGGATGAGAGTAATGAATATGATTTAGAGCTTTTTTTTTGTAATGTGAAAATGCAGTATATTTTCAAATTTATTTGGCTTTTTTTTGGGCTCTTTTCTAATACCATCTGGCTTAAAATCGAAATTTTATCCTGGCAACCCTGTGACGGATACTTCCTGTTGGTTAGCCATTATTATCAATCGAGAAATGTTCCACATCTTGAAGAATTTCATGTCGCATTGAAAAAACAAGAACAATGTGCGTACATCTAAAAGCAAGTAAGAATACGTTTATGTTTATAATTTTATTGTATTTTTAAATTCTATTTTAAATATAGTTCTATAATCATTAACATGACATCAATCAAGATTCAAGATCAAAGTTGCTTTTTTTTTTTTTGGCGGCAAATCGGCTACCGGTACTGTCTTATCTCTAATTGTAATGAAAAGTTTGGCTGCGGCTATTCGGACCCGGTATCAGAAGTGGGTACTTCAATTTTAATTCACCGCAAAAATTATTATTATTCACTTTTCACATAAAACAAATATTCTTTTGAATAAAAAAAAATGGCTAAAAACAATTCGGAGAGATCAACCCACGGCCGCCATCTTGGCTATCGTGACCCACGAACTTATGTTCTAAATGTATCCCTAAACTAACCTGAACCCTAAATGTATCCCTAAACCTAACATGAACCCTAAAATGTACCCCTAAACCTAATCAATCTGAATTAGCCTAAAAAACTTATAATTCAAAAATTATTATACATTATTTCACACTTCCAATAAA